AGGTGAGATGGGAGCCACTGTGGAGGCCGGGCGAGGTGGGAGGGAGCTGCTCTGGGTGAAGTAGGAGCCACCCTAGGCGAGGTGGGAGCTGCTCTGGGCGAGGTGGAGCCACTGCCGGGGCTGGGCGAGGTGGGAGCTGCTCTGGGCGAGGTGGAGCCACTGCAGAGCTGGGCTGACGCTGCAGAGGCCAGGCGAGGTGGGAGCCACCTTTGGCGAGGTGGGAGCTGCTCTGGGCGAAGTAGGAGCCACTGTGGAGGCCGGGCGAGGTGGGAGCCACCCTAGGTGAGGTGGGAGCTGCTCTGGGTGAGGTGGAGCCGCTGTGGAGGCCGGGCAAGGTGGGAGCTGCTCTGGGTGAGGTGAAGCCACTGCGGAGGCTGGGCGAGGTGGGAGCCACCCGCAGCGTGGTGGGAGCTGCTCTGGGTGAGGTGGAGCCACTGCGGAGGCTGGGCGAGGTGGGAGCCACCCGCAGCGTGGTGGGAGCTGCTCTGGGCGAGGTGGAGCCACTGCAGAGCTGGGCTGACTGGCCAGGGCCAGGGCTGTGGGCAGGACGGTGGCAGAGGGCGGCAGGAGACAGGCAGTGTGAGAGGCTGCTTGACCTCAGATGAGCCATGTCTTTGGTGGGGCTGAGCCCAGTGTGTCTCTTCAGAGATGTAGACAGAGCTTCCTCGCATGTGGGCTTGGAGGCACGTGTGCCCGAGAGACTTGAAATCGGGCTCTGACCAGGCCGGGGTGTGGTGGTTAAGGTGCTGGATTCCGCAGGGCTGCGTGTTTGAGGTGTAGATCTAGGCCCCAGGTGCCGGGGCCAATAGATGGTGTGGTGGTTAAGGTGTTGGTCTCCCGGATGGCGGGCCACAGTTCAAGTCCCAGACCTGGAGGCGTGCTTTCTCATCTCCTCTCCGTCTCGGTCCAGCAAGCACAGGTGCCTTCTGGCAAGTGAGAAAATAAGGGAGACGAAAGCGGGCTCAGCAGGTGTTTAGGCACCAGTGCTCTCGGCAGCCAGGAGGGCTTCGACCCCCGTGTCCGTGGCTGCGTGGACGGGTAGGCAGAACGTGGCCTGTGTGCACGTGGACTACTCAGCCTCGGAAAGGGAGGCTCTGATGCTTGCGTCTGAGGTGAGCCTGGGAGACGCGAGGCTGTCGCGTGAAGGAAGCGGCAGGCGAAGGCCGTGTGCTGTGAGTGTGCGCGCCGTGCCCGGAGCAGACGGCCTTGGGGACAGAGAGCAGACAGGCGGTGGCCGGGGCTGGGGAGCCAGCGCCAGTCAGGGCAGTGCCCCTGTGGGGGGCGATGAGAAAGTTCCGGAAGTGGATGGTGATTGCGTGACCTTCTGGATATACTGTTTCCCAAACGTGGCCAAACGGCAGCTTTGGCGTTACGTGCGTCTTACCTCACACACACCGGGTTCCCAGCGCCGCCCTCGCCACCTCCTCCCACGTCCCCTGAGCCACCCCAGCTGCCCACCTTCTCCAGCTGTCTGTGACCGGCCCTGGGCTTGGCGCCTGGGTCCTGACGTCTTACCTCCTTTTCTTCTCAGCTGAACTTTGACCTGGACCGGGGCGTGTTTCCGGTGGTCATCCAGGCGGTGGTGGATGAAGGAGACGGTGAGCAGCTCTGGCCCTTCCCCTCTGCCCTCCTGAGTGTGGCGGAGGACCAGGGAGGCCCGGGGCCCGCCAGGCCCTGCACACTGCCGTGGGCTGCAGGGGTGGGGCGGGGCAGCCCTGCTTCCGCTCTGACCACTCTGGCGCTCTCCCTCCCCCGCAGTTGTGGAGGTGACCGGCCACGCCCACGTGCTCTTGGCTGCTTTTGAAAAGGTAAGTGTCGTCTCGCTGCCACCAGCTTGGGGTCAGGGCCTGAGGCCTGGCCTGGGCAGAGGGTTCAGCCCTAGTCATCGGGTGCTTCTCAGAGCCCTGAGGCAGAGCAAGCATCAGTGTTGGGGGCTTTCCTAGGGTTGGTTAAAGTGTGGTGGCCAGACCTGTCCACCTCTGGGACCTGGAGATGCAGCACCCAGGACACCACAGAGAGTTCCCACCGTGCACCAGCCTTCCTCCGGGCCCCGGAGTGAACTTCCAGGGGGCTCTCCTCGGGCCACGGCCCCTTCCCTCCAGGCCACTGTTCTTCGCGTCACCTGTGAGGGACCCGCCACAGCGCTGCCTGGGCCTGCTCTTGCCTGCCTCACGCTCACTCTGCCCTTCCTCCCGAGGCAGACCTCGGCCTTTGCAGGGGACCTTTGCTGACCCTCTTGGGGCGACCTTCTAGGTTGATGTCGAGGCCAAACTGGCCCCTCACTTGTCATCACGTCCTCAGAGCTGCATGATGCCCAGTGAATTCCAGGAGCTGGGTGAGGGACTGCTTCCTGCCTCCTTGGCCCAGACCCTGTGGGCTGCCCAGACGTGTCCCCATCTGGTCATGAGGCAGCTCACCCCCAAGCCCATACTGACTCTGCCGCTGGAGAGTTTGCCAGCCTGTGACCTGGGACGGGCGAGGAAGTGAGAGCCCCCCGAGGACATGGGTCGGACTGCTTTGTGGACTTTGCACCAGCTGCGTGCTGGTCACTCCAGCACTTTGCCCAGGCTGTGTCCACAGCCCGGGGCTTTGGTGCCAAACCCACCTCCTCCTGGTTATGACTGGGTCTGGCAGCTGGCTCCAGGGCCTCTTGCTCTGTCGCCTGTGGTGAGGGCAAGTCGTGCTCTCCGGGCCTGGGGTGCCGATGTGGGGTGTCGGCGGAGTTGGCGTGATCAGTCTCAGCCTTGTCAGGAGAACTATAACCATTTGCCGGCCCAGGTCCTCCAGCCAGGGCATGTCTCGAGCACACGTTCCTCTGGGCTCCAGGGGAGAGCCCAGCAAGAAGCTGCTTTGTTTTTGGAGTTGAGCACCTGGAAGCTTCTGTTAGAACCCACGAGCCTTCCCAGCAAACCCTGAGTGGTTGACTGAACAGGGATAATTAGTATTGCAAGATCTTGGATCCTCGGACTTGAGCCGCGCATTTCTGGAACTGCAGACGCGCTGCTCTATCCTCACGGTCCCGGAGCCCCGGGCCTTGCTGTGCACACGCGGGGCCTGGCCTGAACTGGTCTTCGCTTCTGCTCCCTGAGGGCTGCTGCTTGAGGCAGGGAGGCCCCTGCCTTGCCAGAGCTTGGCTGAGTGGCCTGTGGGTCTGGGAGGCCGCAGTGGCTGGAGGATCTTCTTCCAGGCAGTTTCCAACCAGGTCTGTGAACTACGCTGGGTCTTAGTCTTCATGTGGCCCTTCCTCTTTCCAGCCACTGATGTGGGTTAGCCAGGAAGGGGCTTCAGCCGGCTGAGATCGGAGGGCCTGCTTGACCGAGCTAACCCCGCCTCTTTCTCTGCAGCATGTGGACGGCAGCTTCTCGGTGAAGCCTTTGAAGCAGAAGCAAATCGTAAGTCTACTAGACGGGACACCGTGACCCCTCTGGATTTAAAAGACACGCGTGTATACATGCACGTCAGGGGTCTCCACGACGGTCTGGGGCCCCGGGGCTGCCGTAGGAGCAGCTGTGCGGGGCCTGTTGACTGTGCCTCCCTCGTGGGCCCGAGGCTCCAGGAGCCTGGCAGGTGCGGGCATGTGCATTGTACCCCGCCGCACACGAGCAACAGCTCTGAGTCGTGGCCAGTCTAGACCCTGGTGTCCGGAACGTCTTCAGTACGCAGTAGATGTCCGCTGGGTGAGCGAGTCGAGCCATCTCCCCCTCACAGACTGCCGAGAACCCCTCAGAGCAGGGCGAAGGTTTGCACGACTGTGCAGCAGGGGGAGCAGGGGAGCCATGCGTGAGCTCGCCCCCTCGGCTCAGTAGTGCCGTCCTCTCCTGGGAAGTTACTCCCGGTGGCCTCCCACTTCAGTCCTGTGAGCATTTAGAGGGCGGGACCCCTAAATGGCTGGGTCAGGCCTTGGTGTCGGGACTGATGTTAACGGCACGAGCCTGGGTCTGCCCCAGAGCCTTGGCGGCAGGAACCCCGTGTGTTGCTGCTTTGGGGCCTAAGACTGGCTTGAAGCCGTGTTGTCTACTTTGTAGGAGAGGCAGACGGAGCCTGGAGGACAGGGGACCCCAGCACTGGCCAGGGCCTTGTCTTGAGTGAGCTGCCGGCAGCAGCTGCTCGCTGGGACAGCTCGTGGGGCTCACGTCCGTGGGACTGGGAACCAGCAGCCAGGCTGTTGGGAGCATGGCCAGCAGAAGGCCACCAGCCTGGGAGCAAGCCACCACGGGGCAGGACGTGGTCTGTAGACCTTGGTTTGGGCTGTGTGACCAGAGGCGTCTTTTTTTTTTTTTTTTTTAATTTTATTTGTTACTATTTTTTAATCTGACCAGAGAGAGACATGGAGAGAAGAAAGGGAAAGTGAGAAAGAACCGTGGTCAGCCGTGTGGGAATCCGGCACCTTAACCACCATGCCACCTGCTGGTCCCGACCAGAGGTGTCTTCGTGTTGTGAAAGGGGGTCCTAGGGAGTAGTAGCTGCCCGGTACCGGGGACCATCGACTCTGGTTGCTGCTGGGGACTGAGGGAGGCAGGTCCAAAGTGGTTTTGCTCTGGTGTTGGGGCAGAGATGTGGTAGAGCTTGGCGCTGGGCCCGCCCTAGCATGGTGGGCAGAACCACTGGCCCAGCCCGGCTCCCTGGGCTGCTGGGTGGGCTGGGCAGGTAGCCAGTGTCCCTTGCCCCTCTGGCCCTGGAGCTGGGGCTGGGCTGAGTAGGCCTGACAATCCCCAGCCGTGCCTGCCCCTGGGGTCCCGGCCTGGCATCTCGGAGGCAGGTGGGGCCAGGCAGGGGTCGAGTAGCCCTTGGTGGGGCTGGTGAAGCCCAGCTTGCCCCTCTGCTCTCCAGGTGGACCGGGTCAGCTACCTGCTGCAGGAGATCTATGGCATCGAGAACAAAAACAACCAGGAGACCAAGGTGTGGTCTGCGGCGGGCGCCTGCCTGGACTCGTGGCCCCCACCCAGCGGGTCTCCTGCCCATGGGGCTGTGTGCTTGCCGTGTCCGAGGGCCAGCCTGGCACCGGTCCCTTCCCTGCCTTCTCTGAGAGGGCCCAGACTCCATCATTATTCCTTACTATTTAAAAAAGGGGACAGCGTTTTGGGAACGTTTGTCCTTTTTCCAGTGAGCTCATTGGCTTGTCAGCCTGGGAATGCAGGATGGCCTCCCTCCCAGGCTCCAGTTACTTCCATCACAGGCAGCCAACCAGCGGCACTGCCCCGCCACAGGCTCCCTCCAGGCTGTGTGTCCTGGGAGTTCCCCATGGTGACCTCCTCCTGCCCGCCGGCTCTCCATTGCTAGGGCAGCCCCTGGAGATGGGGGACAGCTGGCGGCACGGGAAGGCCTACCCCAGGTGACTCAAAGACTTGTCCTTCCCTGCGCCCTGTAGCCTGCTGACCCACAGTCCTTGTTCTCGCAGCCCTCGGACGATGAGAACAGTGACAACAGCAGCGAGTGTGTGGTGTGCCTGTCGGACCTGCGGGACACGCTGATCCTGCCCTGCCGCCACCTCTGCCTCTGCACCTCCTGTGCCGACACGCTGCGCTACCAGGCCAACAACTGCCCCATCTGCCGGCTCCGTGAGTGCAGTGCCCTGGCCTTCTGCCATGCGGGAGGTCCCGGAGGCTCCAGGTTGGCCCGACCAGGGCAGGCTGGGGCCGTGGGGCCTTGTGGGCTAAGAACCAGCCAGGCCGCAGGTCTGGCACCCGGCTCTCACTGATAGCAGCCTGGCCCACAGCAACACCCCAGCACCGGTTAGTCCCGCTCCCCAGCCACGGCTCCGGGAGAGTGGGCTTGCTGAGTCGGGCCGAAGGCGTTCCAGGAGGTGCTTGGTGACATCGAACTGCGGGCACGTGACTGATCTGTGAACGGAATGTCTTAAAAGTTGCCTGGAAAATACTTTGATAGAAAAATTAAAATGAGGTGAAAACGGGCCAGTGCGCTGGGTGGGGACCCACAGAAGGGCTGAATGTGGTTTCCTGAGCAATCCAGGGTTTTTGCAGTGGGGGTCACCGAACATATTGTGAGGCTGGGTGACAGGGACCCGAATGTCCTCGGGGTAAAGAGCCACTGGGTCAAGGGAGCCTCCACTTGGCCCGTGCTGGCAGCAGGGACTGGGACAGGTGCGAGGACACCTGCATGGGGATGCTGCCTTCAGGAGGCCAACGGCACCGAGCTCGGCAGTGCACGCTGCCTCCTGTGCTGACACAGGCCGTGGAGGACTACGGTGGCCCCAGGCGTCGGGCCTGCCTGTCAGTGCTGGGGTCAGCAGGACCTCACCCCAGGTCACATGTAGGATGAGATGGGCAGGTCTGCTTGGGTTTGTCCATGCTCTGACCTATTGATTGGAAGCAGCTGCACTGGCACCTCATGGTGGTTGTCCCCACGCGTGAGACCCAGCTGGCTTGGGGAGGGGAGTTGGGGTGCGAGTGTGCCCTGTAGAGGTTCCCCGGGACCTCAGGGTGTGCAGAAATGGAGGGAAAGGCCGTGTGTTCTAGGGTGCAGAGCCCAGGTGGAAGGCCCTGTCAAGACAGGGCCGGCCGTGGCTGGGGCCGGGGCCTGCACACAGGGGCCCGCTGGGAGGGTGACTTATTGCCCCGTCTGGAAGAGAGCCAGGAGTACCTGGGAGCAGGAGGTCAGGGCAGGGTGGGCCTGGGCTGGCACTGGAAGCTAGTTCAACCTCTCGTGGGCAGTCCGTCTTGGCTGCCTGCCCCCACCTCCTTCCGAGCTCAGTCTGGGCAGTGCTTTGAGGCCTTACTTGCCCCTTCCTGGGGCCCTTTTATTAAGAGCCCATCTGGCCTCTGACCTGGGGACGTGGGGAGGTCAGCATGGAAGATGGGCGGTGTTCCTGCACAGTGGCCTGCCTCGTGTGAGCCTCCTCTCCTCCTCCACAGCTTTTCGGGCCCTCCTGCAGATCCGAGCCGTGCGGAAGAAGCCAGGAGCCTTGTCCCCCATCTCTTTCAGCCCCGTCCTGGCCCAGAGCGTGGACCATGACGAGCACTCCGTAAGTGCCTCTTCTTGTCTGCATCAGGGGCCAGAGCGGCCAGAGCCCTCCAGGCAGCACCAGGCCAGGACCCAGGCGGTCTGGCCAGGGCCTCTGTGTCCTTGCATGCCCGGTGGGCAGGCATTGTCCCTCACTGGCGGTGACGTTGGTAGGTGACCTGTGGCCTGTGAACACGGCTGGCAACGGCGAGAGCCCGCGGTGTCATTCTGGGTGTGCGGTGTCCCTGCATCCTCTGAGCCAGGCGAGCCTGGCACCCTGAGGTTTACAGTGAGTGGGGCGGCTGTTCCCTCACCAGGTGCCCCCAGGGGCAGCCGGCCTTCCCTCTTGACTGGTGCTGCCCTCGGTCCGTCCCAGCCTGGGCGCCCCAGGGCTGTGGCACGTGGCCAGCCAGCTCTCTTTCTGAGACCACACAGGAAGACCTTGCTCAGGTAGATGAGAGCAGTCAAGTCTCACTTCCAGGATATAAGGAAAGAGATGGACAGAGCAGAGAGATAGGGAGACAGAGACGTGCCTCAGGGAGGGAGGTGCAGAGGGACAGAGATGTGGGGAGTCAGATGTGAAGACACACAGATGTAGGCATGGAGACAGAGATAGGAAGAGAGACATAGACAGAGACACAGAGCCGAAGAGACGGGGAGTTGGGGGGTGGGGTGGAGCAGCTGAGGTGGAGTGAGCAGAGCAAGCAGAGCTGCAGGGGCGCCAGCTGAGCGGGGCCCCGGCCTCCTGGTCCTGCTGGCCAGGAGCGCTGTGTCTGGGTGGGTGTCTCGTGGCTCCTGCCCAAGGTGGTTTGGACTGTGGTGCTCCAGGTCCTGTCACCACTCTGAAAAGCAGTGGAAGAGACCCATGGCCAGCATCTCCCCGAGAGGACGCCCTGCTCCCCAGGGCTCCCGCACCTCCTGGGTCGGAGCCTTGGGCTGGGACCGTGATCCGCTGGTGGCAGTAGTCATGTTCAGGCCGTAAGATATTTCTGAAAATTGGGCCAGCGTTTAAAAGTCTGGAAATTGTCCTCAAAACCTGGATTTTTGGCTTTTCTTTCAAAATCTAAAGTTGTGATCTTGAAGCTAGAGTAGAGGCGTGGGGTCCCTGTCACCCTGCACACACACCCAGCTCCCCCAGGGCCAGGCGCACTGTCCCATCTGCCTGGCGGGGCTTCGCGGGGTTGGTGTAAATAGGGTCCACTCTCACAGGGCCTGGGCGGAAGCTCAGTTGGAGGGTGGATTTATGACCTCTTGTTTTTGCTTCTCCCTGTCCTGCCCTGTTGGCCGGGGCTCAGGTAGACTCTCTTTCCGTTCCCCTCTCAGTATTTTGGGCAGGCACACACACCCTCAACATTGTTCCAAGCTTCTGGGTCCAGAACTTGAACTGCAGTTGACTACGTGGGGGTCCGGCCGCATAACCGTTACGCCGTCTGCTGGTCCTGGCAGTTTCCTCTTTGTCCTTGTCCCGAGTGAGCCAAGAGGCACAGGGTGGCCAGGATGTGACATGTACCCAGGCTGCAGTCATGGCCACGTGCCCACAGCCATGCACCTTCCCAGAGAGCCTCCTGGCCCTCTGTAGGGTGGACGCGGCAAGACGCCCTCGCTGCCTGCTCAGCGGTCCCTGTGTGGTGCTGGGAGGAACCCATTACATGTTTCGTCCAGTGAGGCCCGAGGTCACGGAGGGGCTGGTTCGGGGCTGACCTTTCTCTCCAGCCACCTTTGAACTCAGACCCAGGCATTGGCAGTACCGTTGGCAGGCAGTGCCAAGCACAGGGGGGTGCCGCGCACTGGTGGAGGGACTTTGTCCAGCCACCTTGGGGTCCCCGTCCCTCACTCAGCCCAGCCTGCTTCTGGGAGGCCCCAGCCACTCTCATGCCCACCTTGTGGGGTGAAGCCCTGCTGTCCCAGGGAGATGCAGACCATGGTGGGCAGTGGGGCCCAGCAGCCGGCTCCTGGGAGCTGGTTAGATGTGCAGACAGCTGCCTGGGCCGGGTCAGAACTCGCGTTGACTCAGACCCCAGGATGCAGGTGCTCGTGAGGCTGGTGGAGCGTGGGTCATGGCCTGCCAGAGGACGGCCAGTCAGAGAGCCCATCCGCCACTGTAGCGCCGTGTGGGGGGCGGTCATTGTAAAACGTTTGATTTTTATCTTGACAGTGTCCCTTTAAAAAATCAAAGTCGCACCCCGCCTCCCTGGCCAGCAAGAACCCTAAAAGGGAAACAGTAAGTGTGCGCGGCCGTGGCTGCGCTCTCCTGCCCGCGCCCTAGTTTTTAAGCCAAGACAAGTGTGGGAAGGCACTTTCACCCCAGGCTAACGTCCGATTAACGTCATCTGTCCCCCGCTCTCCTCAGTCCCCGTGGCCCTGCCCAGGAAGGGAGTTTTGTGGAACAAGCAAAGCTCAAGGTCTGTCGGCAAAGCCAGTGTGGCACGCACCGTCCCAGTCGCTGCGGGCGTCGTGGCTCGTCGCCGCCCTTCTGGCCAGCTCCCTGCCCCCGTGGCCTCCCAGTGCCGTTTCCCTTTTTTTCTTGCTGGCAGTGGAATGGATGCCAACGTGGAGCTGGCGTCGCTATTTTTGCAAACAGCATTCCTCACGCATGCCCGTTGCATCCTCGCTCTCTACCCCTCCGATCTTAGCTCCTTGGGCCGACGACTTTGGTTTTCTTGCATTTTCCCTGCACTCCTGGGAGCAGGCGGGGGACCAGAAAGCGCGTGGCAGCCGGGCCAGGCCCTGTGCTCAGGATAACTTAGAGGGTGGAAGCTGCTTGGGAACCCGCGCAGAGAGAGGTGTGTCCTTTTTACAGGGAGGGGATTCCAGTAACTTTACCTTTAAGTGGAGCGCAGATGGGAGCTGAAGGGTGGGGTAGACTTAGATCCGACAGAGTGCAGGCCCGGTGAGGGAGGGCTCGCCTGCTCTGCCGCCCACACTGTGGTGTGGGCCCCAGAGATGGGCCCTCTCCATCGCCCCTTCTCCTGGGGCCTCTGTCAGGCAGCCCACAGGGAGCGTTCGTGAGCGTTTTGTCCCTGGGCCTGGCTTCAAGGAGTGGAGGGCACGCTCGCTATCATCCCCACACCCAGTGTCTTCCTCCCCATGGCCGTGGCGACTCAGCTCACCTGATCCTGGCTCGGGCAGAGCCCAGTAGGCAGCTCGCCTTGGTCTAGAACCCGCGTTTCCCAGGTGCTCTCGCCCTGGCATGGCTTTGCTCCTCCTGCCTCTGAGCTCTTTCCTGTCACTAACCCCTCACTCTCACCCTGGCAGGGTGGGCACAGAAGCCAGGTGGAGGCCGGCCAAGGCTGGGTGGGGGCAGCTCCTACCAGAGGCTCCCTGTCCTGGGCACCGAGGTGGGGCGTTTGTGGGAGCTGATGGCCGGGTCCCCTGGGCAGGGGCACCTCAGTGCTGCAGGGAGGTTGAGTCCCTCAAAGGTGGTGTGGACAGATTGTCAGCCAAGGAGGGCGGGGGCGGGGACACCCCTGGGATGCCAGCTCGGCACCTGGGGCTTCTGGGCAGGGAGCCGGCTGTCCCTCACTCGCCCTTGTCCCCACAGAGCTCCGACAGCATCCCACCCGGCTACGAGCCCATCTCCCTGCTGGAGGCGCTCAACGGCCTGCGGGCCGCCCCCCCCGCCATGCCCTCAGCCCCCCTCTATGAGGAGATCACCTACTCGGGCATCTCGGACGGCCTGTCCCAAGCCAGCTGTCCGCTCGCTGGGATCGAGCGTGTCACAGAAAGCAGCCACCCGAAGGGCAAGCCGCGGAGCAGGTCTCCGGACAGGTGAGGCCAGTGCCGGCCGCACAGGAGGGGCGTGGGTGCAAGTCGGGGTGGCACGTGAGGAGGGCCAGCAGCTCGTTCCTGGTTTCAGGTCTTTTTTTAACCGGTCTTGTTTGGTGACTCACCAGAGACCCACAAGGCCCAGTAGCAGGTTAGAGCAGGGTGAAGTCCGTTCCGGCAGGAGCACGGAGCAAAGGCTCAGGGCAGTGGTGCCCTGGTGGGGACAGGGCCACAGGGCACACTGCAGGGGCTCTGTGAGCTCTGGGGTCCAGGACCATGAGGAGGGCTGCTCACAGACATCCTAGGTGCTGCTAAATGGCAGGGGACCCCAGCAGCTAGGGGAGTGCGCCTGCCTGTACCATCGCCCGGCCAGCAGTGGGGCCGGGTCCCCGCCAGGCGGTAGCACCTTTGTCCCTCACAGAGCCTTCCGAGGGCTGCAGGCCTGTGCAGGTCACAAGTGAGCAGAGGCTCCCTCAGCCATGCGGGAGTGCCTGCCGCACCAGCGTCACTGCAAGCCTGTGTGTGCGTGTGCGTGTGCGTGTTTGTGTGTGCGTGCTTCATATGCTTGGCCGGCAGGTGTGTGCTTGCCAGGGATAGAGAGGGAGGAAGCACTCCCTGACGGGATGCGGCCACACTGTAGTCTCTTCATCTCCATCCTGTCGGGGCTTGGGGCACACATGCACACGTGTCTGGTGTGTCTTTAAAATCACTAGGATTTGTCTTTGTTTTTTAAAGTTCACTGTAGGGTCACTCCACTCGCTGGAAACAGAGAAGGAAATTAAGCTATTACCCTCCCACCCCTGCAAGGAGCAGCCCCACTACAGCCCCTTCTTTCTCCTCTCGGGACTTGGGCACACGCACCTGGCTTGTTTTTCAAGTTGCTGAGCCCAGGACTCAAACCGTGTAGTTGGCCCTGTGTGATCTGACTCCTTTTTTTCCCAGGGTTTTGCTATAGGGCCCGTGTGCTTATCGGAAAGATAATAGAACAGAGAGAAAGTGAGAAATCACCCTCTGGGGGATGGCCACGCCGCAATTCCTTCTCCTGGGATTTTGGACATGCATGCACACACGTACCTGGTGTGTTTTTGAGCCATGGGTCTGGGACTTGAACTATAGTCAGCTCTGTGGGTTCCAGTGTCCTAACAACATGCCACCTACTGCCCTGGGATCCAGCTGCTTTAACCACTAGGCTATGGGGCTGGTCCTAGTCTTATCCTTTCTTTTTTTTCCTTTTTTGACGGGGCGCTAGAGGGTGTATGTTTTCACCAGGGAGGGGAAGAGAAAGCACCCCGTGAGGAATGCCACACCGTAGTCCCCCCATCTCTCCCTCCTTTGGAGGGTCTGGACACACACACGCTCGACCTGTTTCTCAAATGCCTGGTCTGTTCTGGAACCGCACAGTCAGCCGTGTGGGATCTGGCTGCCTCAACCACCAGGCCATGGAGCAGGCCTGACTTTCTTTTTCTTGAAGTTCGTTTCTTACCTGAGAGAAAGCCCCAGGCAGGGTCTCCTTGCCGTGTTCTCCACTGGGCGGGATCCCAGGCACACGTGTGCCCCGCATGCTCAGGTCTGGGGATGTGAAGCCAGGGCCCAACCTGTGGGATCAGCGTGTCCCTCTGGGCTGCCGCCTGGCCCTGCCTGGCTTCTCAGCAGGGAGGCAGAAGGCAGGCAGGGACTCCGCAGCCCCACCCAGGCCCCAGGCTGTCCCCATGGGAGGTCAGCCCTGACACGTGAAGGCACATGCATAGGAGCGTATGCCAGCGTGGGGCCTGTGGTGGGCCTGTGCTGACGAGACCGGGGCACTGGGCCGGCCCTTAGCTGACAGCACCGCGCAGCCCCTGGGGGAGGCTGTGTGCACAGTCACCCTGTGCCATCGGCGGGGTGTCCACAGGCTCTGGCATAGTCCGGCTTCAGGAGTGCCACCCCCAACCTCCTTGCCCTCCCCCTCTGTCCCCAGCACCCTGCGGTCCCCGTCATCCCCCATCCGTGAGGTGGACGAAGAGAAGCTCTCCGAGGACTCCAGCGCTCCTCCCCCACCAAGTAGTACAGAGCTGGTGCTGCGGGAAAGCAGTTCCCCTGAGGTGAGGCTCCCCCAGGTGAGGCTCCCCCAGGAGAGGTCCCCTACAGGTGAGGCTTCCTGACACCTGCTCCCGCCAGCCCTCTGCGGTCCAGGCCCACCAGAGTCAGTCCCCGTCCCACTGTGTACCTGGGCCCTCTGCCAGATGCCCGACTCCCCCAGCCTGTTTCCTGGGACGAGGTCCATCTGGTGTGCCCTGGAGGAGCTGCAGTCACCCTGGCACCCTCCACACCACCTGGTCTCAGGAGCTCAGCTGCTCTGCCCGAGATGCCCTGAGCTCTAGGTGGGCTTGCTCTTTTGTCTCCTAGAGTTTCTTAACGGAAGAGGTGGCCGAGTCGTCGCTCAAGCAAGGTGAGTTCCTCTTCCCCAGGAGGTGCTGCTCCTGGGCCGTCCTCTCCCTGTCACCTTCCTTAGGCACGGTCTCATCCTCCCACCTCCCTGGGGGCACTTAGGGTCACTGCCAGCCCTCCATGCGTATCCTCTGGGCACAGGACAGACCCTGGACGTAGCCTGGGCGGGGGAAGTACCCCTGGAGCGTGCCTTGTGTTATGGCGAGCGGCCTTGCCATGTCTCCTGCTAAGTGGGAGGCAGAGGGCGTCTCGGCAGCCTCCAACCCTGCCTGCTGCCTCAGTGTGTCCTCCAGCACAGGTGAGGAAGCTAAGGCTCAGGGTTGGTGTTAGGGAGGGGAGTCAGATGACGGGGCCAGGATGGCTGCAGGACTCACCGGGTGGCAAAGGCCCAGAGGCAGTTCCAGCTGCCCTGCGGCATCTCCCAGGAACGGTCCCCCACTGCACGTGAGGGGCCTGGTGCTTGGGTCTGGGATGCCTGTCCTAGGACGGGTGCTAGCCGCATCCCAGGCCAAGCAGCCCCAGCTCACTGTGCAGCTGATGGAGTGGGGGCCAGGTTGAGCCAGCCTCCCTTCTGCTAGAGGGACCCTTATCAGCACACCTCAGGCAGCACTGAAAAGGGCAGGTTCTTTTTTTTTTTTTGAGAGGTTTTTGCTATAGGCCACATCACCATAGATAAAATGAGAAATCACCCCCTGGGGGGATGGCCACATCACAATCTCTTCTCGTCTCTGGCTCATGAGCGCACACACACACACACACACACACACACACACAGTGTGATTTTAAGCCACCGGGTCCAGTTCTTGAACCGTGGTTGACTACATGGGAGCCCAGCGACATCCATTACACCAACTGCTGGTCCCGAGAAGGGCAGGTTCTCCGCAGAGCGAGGCCGAGTGAGGGAGAGGAAAGGCCAGCAACATGTGTCAGGGCTCACCCTCCATGAGGGTCGGCCACTCACGCTACAGGCAGTGATGGCCAAGGGACAAGCAGGACATTAACCCACCACCATTTAGCCTTGGTTTCAAATGTGGGCATCCAACTGTTTTCTTTTTTTGGACTTTTGCCATAGGACATGTGCATTCACCAGAGAGAGGGAAAGTGGAAAATCACCCCTGGGGGGGATGGCCACGCCCCAAATCCACTCTCACTCTCCCCTCGGGATTTTGTGCCCAGCATGCTTTTCAAGCTGCCAGGTCTGGGACTTGAACCAGAGTCAGCCATGTAGGATTCAGCACTTTAACCACCATGCCACCTGCTGGCCCAGTATCTGATGTTTTTATAATAAAAACAAAAAGCTTGCACTGGAGGTGGGAGAGAGGGAGAGGGGAGAAAAGTGGACATCCACTTTGGGGTATCTGGAGAAAAGTGGGGTGGGGGTAGAGTTGGGCCTATGTACAGCCCTGGGCCCTCGACCAGAGCACTAGCTGGGACCCCTGGCCAGGGTCCTGACCTTGCCCTTCCCTGCAGGGAGCCGAGCGCCGTCCATCGAGAACGTCCTGCAGGACAGCAGCTCTGAGCACTGCGGTCATGGCCCGCCAGGCCCACCTGCCGACATCTGCCTGCCAGGTAACAGTGCCCAGGCTGGGGTGGCCTGACTGTCCCCAGGAATGTGCGGTCTGCTTCTGTTGGGAGTCCACTCCTTCTCCTTGACTTGAAGCCGCCCATCGCCCTCCCCTTCAAAGTGTGACCGTGGCAGGGCTAGGTCCACAGGCTGTGCCTCCTGCAGGCCCCAGTTCTCGGGCGGAGCCCGTGCCCGAGCCCCTTCGCCCCCTTTGCCCGGAGCTGCTCGGTCTTGGGAGGCCACAAGAGTAGCCTGTGGAAGGTGTGGTCCTTCTCCTGTTGCCTCCTGCCCAGGAGCAGCTGGGCTTGCTGTGTTGTCTTCCCTGCCCTCCTGCCTGTGGGCCAGCCCAGGGATTGTACAGGTGGGCTGGTTCGCAGAGGGCTTCTGCTCGGCAGCCCCAAGCAGAAAGCGGGAAAGCAGACCCTGTGTCGTGCCTGGGCCTGACTGGGGCACTGCCGGGTCACAGACACACAGCAGGTCCGGGCCCTCTGGAGGGGCTCAACCCAGGCCCTTGGCTCAGAGCTTTTGCTTTCTGCTGTTGGGATCAGTCCTGTGTGCCGAAGACAGGGACAGAGGGGGGCCTCTCAGGTGGCCAGTGCCTGCTAGGAGGCACCCGAGATTCTGGGTGACTAGTTGGATAAACAACCACCCTGCTGGAGATGTGACCTTAGGAACAGTTGCTCGGGGAGCCTGGGCCCTCTCCTGCTGCCAGCCTGGCAGCCCCTCTGCCCCCGCCTGGCCCTGGGATCCCAGGCTGGGGGTTGGGATGTGCTTCTGTTGGAAAGGCCTCTTGTACCTGCCCAGCTTCCGGGTGAGCAGTGGCCTTTGCAGGAAAACCACGGTGACAGGGTCTCTGGGGTGGGAGAAGGGACCCTGGTGGCTTTAGTGGCCTGCAGTGACCAGCCAAAGCATAAATCCATAGGTAAAGCCAGGCTTAGGGTTAGCGTGTCTTAAGGAGACCCAGAATCCCAGAATCCAAGTACATGCTTTCAAAGTCCTCACGTGTTTCATTTTGATAAAAACCTTGGGGAGTAAGCAGGGACGGTGAGGAGAGGGACTTCAGCTTCCTGGAGCTGTAGTGTGGGTTCTGACCCTGTGGGGCGGCCCTGAGGGGCACCAGGCCTGTGGATGGCAGCATCGGAAAACCTGCCCTGCTTCCTGTGGCTGGGTAGGGACAGGCCACCGCCAGGCTCCCTGACCATAGAGGGGCAACCAGGATGTCTGGTTCCTGTACCCTCCCTGCCACAGGAGGGGCTTGGTCCACGAACTAGGGGGCAGGCAGTTCTCTGAGGTGGAGGAGGGGTCTCGGTGGCACGGGGCTGTTCCCTGCTCCTGGGCTCCCTGCCGGTGGCCCGTCTCCTGCAGGTTCAGGTCTGCGCTCCCCTGCGTAGGTCAGCCGGGGCGGGGACAGGCAGCGCTAGAGCGCACTGCACACCTTCCCGTGCGCATTCTGGGTCTTTCCGTTCGCGTGGCACTCCCTGCTCTGCTGGCGTTCTCACTTCACAGAGATCGTGAAGTCTCGACATCTGTGGGTGCTTTGAGTGTGAACACATGTACACACATGTCCTCACTGTTACGGTGGGTGGAGCATACTCAGTGCGCCTCATGCCCCCTGCAGGAGGGCGTGGAGGTCAGAAAGTTTGTGAAGTGGCGAGGACCTAGCTGGCCCGTGGCCTGGGGCCCCTGACTCGGGGTCAGCCTTGAACTGTTGTGCGGAGGCGGAGGCGCAGGCGCAGAAGTGCCTGCTTGCCAGCTACTTCTCCTGGGCTGCAGCAGGTCCAGCCCAGGGAGGCCCGCAGAGGGGGGTCTCGCCGAGGGGGTTCCACAGAGGGGCGTTTAGTTTATGGGCGACCGCCCTGTGCGCTCCC